ATGTTTTTCAGCTAAAGAGAAACATGGCCTGAGTTAGTCGCAGACAGAATATCAGAGTAGTTGGTGTTGAAGGCGCAGAAGCGAATAACATCCAACACAGCCTGTATTGTCAGCCAAACTGGTGATCACGGCAAACGTTTACTGACGCACAAGCGGAGAAATCTTGTCCAACAAGCTGATCACATCGGAAGATGAAAGTGAATAGGAGGCAGCTGATCGAGACATTACTGGACGGTAACACTGACTGAGGTGATTCTTATTCAGGTGAAATATGTTATTGTGCTGTTGAGGATATTCTTACATCTTCTTCCTTTCTTTGTTCTGATTGGAGAGAATGAATAAGTTTATAGAAGGAGAATGAATCAGAATGTGTTCGCAGGTAAATTCATAGTTCATGTTTAAATTGATTAATATTAAGTTACAAGATGATGTTTATTCTATATGTAATCTCTCCTTGTATGTAAACCATCATAACAAGGATTAAGGTCAATGGCAGAGCCTGAACTACTTTTTTTCCCTTTTATTTATTATAATTATTATAATTATTATTATTATTATTATTATTATTATTATTATTATTACTGTGAGTGTACTTTATCAAAATTTATCAAAATTAAACTGGATATGAATAATATAATTCTTTAGGAGCTCAGTGGTAAGTCAGATGTTCAGAGTCCCCTCTCTGTTCTGATGGAGCGCTTTGGTCAGGGGGGAGCAGAGAGGAGCAGGGACTGTTTCAGTGGGGTTTTGTTTGGGTTCTGCACTTTTGTTTGTCTTTTGTTTGGAGGCCATTTTATTAAAAAGTAGGGGGAAAGTGTTTAATTGGGTTGCAAATCTTTATTTACAAGTTAAATAATGGTTATTGATCATTATAAAAACCTAGTAAATTTTGTGTCATGGAATTGTAAAGGACTCAGTGGTGCTGTTAAGCGGGGCAACATTGTAGCACACCTTAAAAAGCTGGGGACAGATACAGGATATTTGCAGGAAACCCGTTTGAGAAACCAGGATCATCAGAAGCTACGTGGTGATGGATCGGGCAGGTGTTTCATTCTTCACAGCTAAGAATAGAGGTGCAGCCATTATTATCAACAAAGGGATCCCCTTCATAGCGTCAAGTAGTATTATCAGACCCTCGGAGACGTTATATAGTTACAGGGAAACTTTATAACAATCAGGTTACACTAGCAAATATTTACGCCCCTAATGTTGATTATGCAGGTTTATTAAATCATTTATATCCTCTAATATGGACACCCATAAACTGATAATTGGCGGCGATTTTAATTTTGTTTTGGATCCTAGTCTTGACAGATCATCACAAAGATCAGCATCTAAATCAAAATCTGTGAAAACTATCCAGGAGTTTATGAAGACATATAAACTGATGGATCCATTTAGAGCTATTTCCCCAACTCTAAGAAATTTTCATAGTTCTCCTCTGTTCATCATACTTATTCTAGAATAGACGTTTTCTTAATAGATTATAGATTTCTTACACAGACCCAAAGCTGTGACTATAAGCCAATAGTTGTATCTGACCATAGTCCAGTATTAGCAATAGCAGATAGACCTACTGCACCAAAATGGCGATTTAATAATGGTTTGCTGTTAGATAATATTTTAGTAAATGAAATAAAGGATCAAATCAAGCTATTTATTTCAATAAATGACACACCTGAAGTTACGGCATCCACACTATGGGACACATTAAAAGCCTACTTGACAGGCCAAATCATCTCATTGAGTAGTTATAGGAACAATCAACGAAAAGAAAGAGAGTCACACATAACAATGGAACTTTTAGAAATAGATCAGAAATATGCCATCTCTCCTTCATCCAAACTTTATAAAAAGAAGCTCTCATTGCAGACAGAACTTAAATTGCTTTATACAAATGACACAACTTTGACAGAAGTACTATGAACACGGGGAAAAAACAGGTACTTTACTAGCAAGGCAAATTAAAGAAGTTGCAGCATCAAGACTGATTACAGAAATAAGAACCAGTGCAGGGCAGATAACAACTGACCCAAGAGAATTAATGATGTGTTCTGAGAATATT